ACCCCTAGAGGATGCAGTGTCTCGTTCCCTACTCAGGGAACCACGGTTACATACGTAACCTGAGACGTTCTTCTGGATTTAGTCTTTCTCAGTTTTTTTCTGTTTCTTCATGTGATTCCAGACAGACTGAATGATGGTGACATCAGATCTCTGTGTGGAGCACTGGCTGTTGGCAGACTCTTTGTGTTTAAGTATTTTTGATGGCTAGAAAGTTCAAAAGAACAGCATTTGTTTTAAATATAAATCTTTTGTAACTTTGTAAATGTTTTTAAAAGCACTTTTGATAATTTTATGCATCCTTCCTGAATAAATGCATTCATTTCTTTAAAATTTTTAAATCTTGCTGACCGAAAAACCTTTGAATGGTAGTGTATAAGAAACACCACAAATCTTTTTAATATTCAGTCTTTAAATCTTTTTATACTGTCCTCAAACTATATAACCACTAAAAGTAATAACATTCAAAGTCTGTCTTCACAAACTTTCTTTTTCTAGTTTATGATTTCACTGTAACAATAGCTGTTGTAACTATAGTATTTTGGTGCAGTTTTGTCATTTTGTTATATTTACAATTTCAGCCACAATGTTATTTTAAGTGGAAGAAGAGTGATACAGAGTGATATAAATCATATAGAATATAATTTCTATTAATCTAGAATGTATGAAGTTGTCATGTACTACCGGAGTCCACTGAGCCGCATGGCACCGTTTCCTGCTTTCTGGAAGAGCTACGACCAAAGAATGAAGGCTAAAGAAAAAAATAAAAATAAAAATAAAAACTGAACATGGGAACAAAAACAAAAGACAAAAAAACAACACAACGGAACAAAGAGGAGAGAATCAAATAAACATCACATTTAGACTTGAGATAAAAACATTATTGGAGAAGCTGATTGTGCTGACCTTGACATAAAATGATAGATGAGTGCTCTATATGATTACCTTTTCTTCTAGTTCCTTTATCTGTCGCTTCTGAGCCTCTATCCATTCTTCCAGCTCTTTTATCCTCTGTTGAGACAGGAAAAAAAGATCAATCATTAGCTACAGTAACAAATGGCCAAATGTCTTGTATAAACAGGCTAAATACACACTGGAAAAGGAGATCAGAGTGGCAAAGAGGAATTATTCTGAAAAAATAAGGACTCAGTTCACTTCCAGCGACTCGGCATCAGTATGGAAAAGTCTAAAAGAAATCACCAATTACAAGACACCATCCCCCAGCACTGCGGAGAATCAACAACTGGCAGACGATCTGAACGAGTTCTACTGCAGGTTTGAAAAAACACCCCACACCCGCCCTGAACACCTCTCCACACAACCATTCACACCTCCAGCAACCCTCCTCTCCCCCACACCTGCAATTCAGATCAGTGAAGACGAAGTGCGCCAGGTCTTCCGGAAGCAGAAAAGGAAAAAAGCACCAGGCCCAGACTGTGTTACACCAGTCTGTCTGAAATCCTGTGCTGACCAGCTGGCCCCCATCTTCACACAGATCTTCAACAGATCACTGGAGCTGTGCGAAGTCCCTTCATGCTTCAAACGCTCCACCATCATCCCTGTCCCAAAGAAACCCAAAATTACGGGACTTAATGACTACAGACCTGTGGCTCTAACGTCTGTGGTCATGAAGTCTTTTGAAAAACTGGTGCTGGCCCACCTGAAGGACAGCACTGGACCCTTGCTGGATCCTCTTCAGTTTGCCTACAGAGCAAACAGGTCTGTGGACTGTCACGAAAACAAATTCCTCGTATGTGTAAACATACCTGGCAATAAAGCTCATTCTGATTCTGATTCTGAAACGAAATACTGATGCTTAATAGTCACTGCAGAAAATGAGGTGTTTGTCTGTGCAAAAGATCATGCCATGATGCTCAGAAGATCAGTCATACATCATAATAAATACTCACGATAATACCTCATCTGAAAGCTGAATAAATAAGCTTTCCATTGATGTATGGTTTGTTAGGACATGATAATATTTGGCCGAGATACAACTATTTGAAAATCTGGAATCTGAGGGTGCAAAAAAAATCAAAATACTGAGAAA